CAAAATACGATACTAAAACCTACTGAGTCCTCCTGAGGCTCAGTGCGGTGTATTTATTCTTATATTTGATTGTCTACTTGGTCTACAAATAATTCACCTCGTGTGAATTAATTGTAAACTATTTCTAACTCCACACTGATAGTGGTTTAAGGGGACTTTTACTACACTGATGCTCACGGCATACAAATGTAATTTCGTAAACACAGCAATCAGTGTTCTTATTTTAGACTCAGAGCCTTAGAACGTGATAGTACAAAACGTTCAAGAGCGGTTTGATGCTAATCGTTGATCTACTTGCTGAGTTATCGGGCATTGAAAATCTGTCAACAGTACAACACCACGTGTTATTTTTCACTTTTGGTGTGCGTGTTCACAAACATTCACCTTACCCGGCCCCATTTTAGTTTTTCTTCTAATTTCTAAAATCTTTTATTGACACTGTCAGACTGTCAGTTTATTGTTATTTAGTCAACAGTTTAAAAAAAAAGTTAAACCACGGAGTCAAGATATTTACTCCATATTGCCAAGGGGTATTTAACAGCGCAGTACAGCAACAAGGCCGTATGACGGAGTACTTTTCTTTTTGAAAATATGAAGAGCTGCTATTCGAAATCTTGCGGGAGCTTTATAAATAGGCGAATAGCAAACCAAAACAGAAGGCAAAACAATGAAAACATGTGGTCAAATTTATAAAGGTGTTACCTCTACTTTATTTGGTTAAAAGAAACCCCCACTAGGAGCGAGTAGGCCGAGAGGGGCTCAGGGGCCAGGGGCCAGGGGCCAGGGGCCAGGGCCCAGGGCCCCAAGCCCCAGGCCAGGAGCCCCGGACCGAGGACCGATGGGCTAAATATTTTCTTTGTTTTTTCTTACATGTTTTTTAGCAATAAATACTTCATAAATAGTTTTCGTTGATACCAAAGAAGGGCGCCGGGCTGTTTCCTTTCACGGTGTCCGTCCCGTCTTAAAGTTGTGCGCCGCTGCGCTATATTGATGTATAACTACTTTACACAAGCAAGGCCTTTAGAAAGGGTATGAAGATAAGTGAGGGCCACCGGTCTAGTTCAAAGTTTATCTCGCTATTGTTGAACGCTGTGCGGATCCATACTTGGATCACGCCATCTCGACACCGAGACAGTTGAACGAGATGACTGCTCTTACGCCTGGCCTCGTCGATGTATTCGACTTAAATGATTTTCAGGGTGAAAGTACAGCGGATAAAGTACGAGATGTAATTAAAAGCAGTCCAATCGTGATTTTTTCAAAGACAACTTGTGAATTCTGCAAGGAAGCCAAGAGAACGCTTACTAATATGAATGTAAGCTTCCGATCGCTCGAACTGAATCGCATGGATAGGGGCGACTCGATACATTCTATTGTGAAGGATATATCCATACAGAAAACGGTATGTCAACATGGGTAGAATATGTCATGAAAATGTAGGCGCTCTTTTCGAGTTGTGGTGGTCTATGGCGAAAGTAACCATAACAATTGTGTACATTGTATAGACTTGGAAGTGCTTCACACTTGTCGGGACTTTTCAGTTATGCTTACGTTATAAGAATGCGTCCAAGGGTATCTGAGATACTCAACACGGTGCACTGTAACGGGCATATGAAAGAATGGTAGGTCAACACGGATAATATAACTGCCTATACAACTTTTGCAATCTCAAGCGTTTGGCTTGATCTCGCATGTATTTTCTTCTTCTCTGCGTTGTACAAAATATCAACCTCTACTACAGAATGGATAGAACTGATTCTCGCATATTCTATCGACAGCCAAAACACCCAGAATTTAGGTTCAATATCGACACCCCTATAGTGATACTTTTTGGGGATCTAGATCTCTCCTTCGCAGATGTCAAAAATGACTCGGACTTTTTAACCTTGATATGTATTATGCTACTTGTTCGTAGGTACCAGTGATATACATTGAAGGACATCTGATCGGGGGTTGCTCGGACCTGATGAGGATGGAAGGAAACGGTGAGTTACTCCACAAATTGAGACATCTGCAGATCAAGGGGATACAGAAGGACCAAAAGCCTATATTTACGGTATGGTATATGCTCAGTGACGGATTTGCATTTCCTGTGCGTGGTGCTGTCATAAGAGATTTCATCATAGCCTTCTAATAGAGACTATTATGTGCAAATAATACCTACGCTATTCAATATCTATAACATTGAACTTCGTTACTGCTGATATATGCATCGTGCAAAAGAGTATTATAATTTATATTATAGAAAGGTGTGTGAAATATTCGAAATCGGAAAACCATTGAAAGAACATGCTCACAGTTATACTGCTGAACGTAGTCGTATGTGCACCCATATATGCGTTATGCGACTTCAAATTTAGATTTTTATCGACAGAATGGTTAATCAAAGGAAAGACAATATTTTAATGTGTTAAAAGATCTGCCTATTTGATATACATAGTTACACGCGTACCTAATGTAAGTAAGCTGGAATGTATTATTTGATTGCATTTGTATCTACAGTATGCTAGCTTATACCCACATGTATATCCTTACATAGTGGCATATTATTTGTTAAAGTATGAGAATGCTGGTGCTAGATAAGAATATGGCTTGCTGTTTTAGTATTTCCTTGTCATGTTTTGTTAGAATCTGATTCTATTCAATCTTAACTTGGTAAACATCTTATCAGGACATGGACCGACCTTGGGACAAGAATGCGGCAATTCCACCCTTGTTCTACTTTCCAGACACCCTCAACTGCAATGCCGTCCGCTGCAAAGCGCTTTTTATTACAATCACGGCTATTTGCGGCGCTGTATTTTGGGACACAAGAGGCATGCACTGGGTCATAGCTGGTCTCATGGTTGATTTCATTCTCAGGTGGGTATATATACTTACTTATTTGGGCGGTTATTATCCAATATATTCTCTTCCCATGTGTAAAGTTTTTTTAGAACTTGAATATGTTCGAATTGCTCCACAATAAATATTTCACGAGGTTTACATCGGGACTTGCTGCAATTTTACAACCAACAATTTACAATTGTAACTTCTAACTCGCAAAGTGATACAATTTGGCCCTGTATTCGCCTATTGCAGTTTTTTCTTCGGGGGAGCATTCTCTATCTATGGGGCGCTGGGTGAGTTGTGTGCTTGCAAAATGGAGCCTAGGTGGGTTGCAGGCCCGCCCAAACAGTTCGCTGTACTATGTGGCATAACCTTCTCGGGTATAGCTACAGCTTGTTTCTTCGGAGGCAATGGCGACGAAGTCACAGGTAAACGATGCGAATTGAAAGAAGGCCAAAACTTAAAAAAAGACTGTGCATTGCACATATCGGATGAGTTTACGATATGTCTTGGAATCTGCTGACAATTTCGCATGCATACCTTATAGTCGTGCATGACTGTTTACCGCATCAAATTCCTATTCGCCACAACTAAAATCCACATGAAAATTTCCTCAACTCAATACCTCTACAGAAATTATTGGTGCCGTTTTCTGTGGGATGCTGGCTGGTGCGGCCGGCATGGAGGCCTTCGTGGACTTCTGCGCAGGGTATGTTAGGGTATGTGCGTACTGTCTGATCATTTCATATATATTTATTCCTATAGAGGTACATGTGCGCCGATAATATACCCTTCTACCAAGTGAACTGTCCATCTTGAACGAATACATACCGATTTTATGCTCAGAACATCCTGAGCGCGAGTATCATACTACTGTACAGTATTGGACTATCTCAGATCTTGTTGTAGTTATTCCTTAAGACGCCACGGTAGTCGCAATTCTTGCAAGCGCAAGCAACATGTGCCTCGGAGGAAATAGAACTGACACCAACAATGGATTACAATGCGGTGCTATGCTCATTTCTAGAACGTGACATCTGTCCACTTGTGCCGAACTATTTGTTTTTAATTCTTTACAATTACGCGCAGGTGCGTCGTGTTCTCTTTCTTCGTGAGGATTGGATTGGTTCGGGACGCAGTCTACAAGGTCCATATCAATAGCGTCGAGGAGCAGCGAATGATGTGGAATAATGCGCATGTCAAGTATGATTTTAGACTAGTCCAGATCAGTATCGGATGCGACATTTTGATATGAATGCAAGGGCATTCACTTTTTTGTAGATGTGTGTACGTGTCTTTCTGTGGTGTACTTAATTGTGTCTCATCCTCCTGACATACCTACAGACGTAAACATTCTGTCCCAGAAGTAGTGACAGTGTCCACCGCCGCTACTGAGGCAGGCACCGCAGACGCCCCTCTGCTCACACCCGCCTCAACTGTGTATAGGGTGAAGCAGTCGGACTTGTGGCGCAAGACATGGCACCCAATCAAGTACATGCAGGTGCGTTATATAATCACCATATCCAGTGTTCGGTTTTCTTTGTCGTTCATGGGAGCAATTATCATGCGTTGTGCAATTAGTTCAACCCCAGGGTTGAGTTGTGAACTCGCTCTCATTTTTATATCTCATGTAGCTACCTATCGCCATTTTCAGAATTGCTCACTGCCACCGTCCATTCGATCCATATATTTCGCCTAGTAAACCCAATTGCTGCTTTTTGTTCATCTGTTTGTTTGCTTTGTTGGCTGCCATTCTTTAAATGTCTCACGAAATAGCTAAACAACCTATTTGTATGGGAATCACACTTCCTTGTTACCACATATGTTGCTTATCATCTTGTACCCTCACATACCACTTCAGATTACGTACTTTCTCTGGCCCCTGTCTCTAGCGGCGCTGGCTTTTGCCTTCCGTGTGGCTGTGCAGGCAGTCAACGCACCGGAAGAACTTTGGGAGACCATGGCCTACATTGCGGCCATTGTGTTCGTACTCCTTCTGGTTCTATTCACTCTGCGATGCATCATGTACACTCGCAAGGTTAGCAACTAGTATACATTATTGGGAAGCGCCTTAAAATCATTGTTCAATGTGTTGCATACAAGTTGCTCTGCCCTCGCTGTTTGCTTAATATAAACAGTTTTTCCGGTCTGTCACTAGAGAAGTGTGAATTTATCTGCATTCTGCATACAAATGTTTCTATGAAACCACATGTGATCATGCGTTTGCGGTTCAAGAACCAAAAGAAACCCCCAAGCTATATACATACAAATTTTCTTTCTGCAATACCTCCAGGTGTACAAAGAGTGGACATGTCCACTTCGAGGACCGACCTTCGGCGCGATCCCTTTGACAGTTGCCCTTCTTGGATCATTCCTCAGTGAAGCGAGTTTCACGGCTGCTGAAGTATTCGTGTGGATAGGCACGTGCGTACTGTTTGTGTTCACCGTCATGTTCGTTGGTCGATGGATTGCCCTCCGACACGACTACGAGCACGTGCATCCCACGTGGCTCATCATTCCCGTCGGCAATTTCATCAACGGTGCCCTCTTGGCATCCCTGGATGAGCAGGTATGAGACGTTGGATATATTTTCCATGGCACTGGATTTCTTGCACTTGTATGTACATTCGAAAGGGCGCGTGAACTATTTTCTGCACTCTTGCCCGACTCTCTGCTCCAGTACCTCATTATGTGAATCTGAACTAAGCTGCATGTCGTTAATTCTCAATTCCCACCCTTTTCTCCAAATGTATACACTTATATAGTATACAGAAGTAGGACTGGCCCTCTTCGGATTCGCTTTGCTTATGTGGATAGTGCTGTTCGCTATCACCCTGCAAAAGACTGTCATCTCTCACAACTCTGACGACCGTCTCAGAGGCAACATCTTCATCTGGGTCGCATGTCCCGCAGCCGCAGCGATCTCGTGGTCCATCGTTAGTGCGAGTGGAGGAGGGGTCTTCTTTGATACCATCTCGCGACTGCTCTACTTCAGCAGTGCTATCCTGCTGTGCTGCTTGTGTTACACCGTGTTCCCCCACGGGTTCACCCTCAAAGGCATGTTGCCTACCCTGTCTATGGGAGTACATGCGGTGGCCTTCTCTTTCAATGCTGTGGCCATTGCTGCGTGCTTATACGATATCTCGATCGGCACCACCATCAGCGCATGGTTGGCAGCGGGTGGTTTGGCAGCGGGTTCCTGGTTGACTGCTGTGTATTCCATCCAGACGGTCACCGCTATAGTGGATCAGCGTATCTTCCGACCTGATGTCAAGTGGGTAAGTGACTCCAATGACGTACCAATGTCTTTTATATACGCACAATAAGGATACGATGCGTGGTTTCAGATTTGTATGTGTGTATACATAGATGACAACTAGTAGATATAACTTCTATTCTATTTAGCACATCGGAGTGCCCACATTTGCCACTTGTCAGCGTCTTAACACAGTCCAATTATCCACACAGCGATTTCCATTTCTCATCAATATTCGTAAATCTATGTCGTAGGGTCCTTTCTCGGCCTTCAACCGACTCATGCACGAGACTGTGCGCACCATGTCTGCCAAACTACTTACTCTCGCCGAGGATCCAGACTTTGGCACAAATCAAGAGTTCTTAGAACTGTGGACTTTGTATGAGCGTCTGCATCATATGCACTCCACTCAAGAAGACGACTACTTGTTTCCACTTCTGAACGATTTCGTACCGAACCACCCTGTACACGCTGGTATGTAGGGACCATAAATTACTCACGTGCACTGGTACTGACCAAAGTTCGGTATAAAATGTAAATACACCTTAGTTTTTGCACATACACATTTCCCCCGAATCTTTTGATTGACGACATCTCTTCTTGCAACGTGTTGAAGCACACACCTAACAAAGGATCATATCTAATTTTGTCGTTCAGGAGATGAGCATGAAGAGCACCAGCTCATGTTTGTGCACATTAACAAGCTCATCGAATCTGCAAACCGCGGTTCCACTGATACGCTAAAGGACGAAGCCGGCAATTTGCCTGTTGAGGTAGGGAAAGCAAATTGATACGTGCGCGATGATAATGTTGTTGAAATTTTACCACCACTAGGTGAAGCGTACGCACATCTTTAGACTGGCACGTGTCAAGTTTCTGAAAGCTATATGAATCCAACAGCTATATGTTTGTGAGATATACCTTGCATGATATGAGTTGTCAAATTATAAATTTTATTATCGCCACTGACGATTTTGTTTCGCGTAGCAGTACAGTCACTAGAGTACGCGCGCTTCCAGTATCTGCCTGTATTTGATTTTATACACCTTTCAATATATGCTGACCGTAAAATTTAGTTACGAATGCAGTGTAGATCCATCCGTATAAGGCGTGTGCTTCCGTGGAACGCCATCAGCTGGGACGCTCACAAATCTGCTTCTATCTCTTTACAATAGACCGTCAACACAGGAGCGTCTAGTCAACTCGACGTGAACAACAAAATGAAGGAGAAATCCTCGCAAATGAGTGCACTCGACGCTGATGCCTTAAATTCTCAAGCTGACGATGTAACGCAGGTTACGAGCGAATCACTCAGCCCAATGACTGCTACTTTAACGGCGGACGAGGACCTGAACGAAACTCCTATTGATGGTGAAGGTGATGTGATGAAAAATAGTTCAACTGGTTACGGATCATTACAGGTATGAGATACACATGCACGTATACGTTTTGTTTTCGATCGTGTCTCAGCAAAGACATATCAGCGCTTGGGAAAATATTATTCATTTCAATTATGCGCTGCCCTCAAAACCTACATAGAAACTTATATGCTGACCTCGGCATCACTACTCCCTACAGTTGGCACTGCGCGAAATGGTCGCCGAGATGGAGGAGCACATGGTTTGGGAGGAGAAGAATCTGCAACCCATTGGCCGCAAGTACGTTCCCTTAGAACTTCAGAAGCGCGCTGTACGCCAGACCTGGGAGAGTGTGCCCTCGAGTGAGTGGCGCGTGCTGACGCCCGTAATAGTTCGGTACTTACCGTATCACCCCATGCGTGTAAGGTGGGTGAGAGGGGTACTATGGGCCATGCCCGAGCGCGCACAGCAGCTTGGTTTGTACCTGTACCACGGACTCAGTGATGTCCAGTGGATCAAGTTGACTACTGATGTGCCTGAGTTGATTCCTCGCATTCGAGATGTGCCCGAGGCGTCGCGATGGAATAGATATTACTAAAACGAAAGCGCCGACCGAAAATAGATAGCTTAACCTTACGGGGTGTGATATATAGTAGCGTATTAATGTAGTATACTTCTTAGGGTTTATGTTGGGCTGTATACCACGTTCAATTGCACCCAACTTTTATGTGTTGAGGTGGATCCAATGCCGAAAAGTATTGAGGGACACTTCGCACTCGACATAGTAGCATGTAATCATGCAGCGGTTTCTCATGACAATCAGAGGGATGAAAAGTGGCTTATATTTAGCTACATCAAACATATATTCATTAACAATAAAAACCAATATTGAAGAATATAGACGTGCAGGTATGCTGCTGACCACTTCAATACGAAGAAATATATATATATATATAACCCTAAAAGCACAAACCGGAGTACTTTATTAAATTGAAAAGTCATAAACGTGTCGAGGTTGACTTCGTCTGTTGCATCTGCAGGGCAATCTATATCGGTCTTATCACAGTCAGTGTTCTATCTGAGTGCCTAGATATGTCAGGCCAGACCCTAGCGGCCCTCAGAATCTCAGTCCTCTCAGGTAGTGGCTCAGTGAAACTCGGGACCTCACCGGGTTGGATTCCAAACTTGTCTTGGCGCGAATATTCACATAACTATGGTGCATGTGTCCTGCATGTGTCCATATCTAGATGTCACTCAGGATGACTAAGCATAGAAACGCATCTTGCCCATCTCTACAGCAGTCAGTCCCCAATCCAAGCCATGATTATGGGAGTTAGCACCAATGCCCGCCCGCTTCTGCGCCTGTTCATCTGTCAAGCACATTAGCACGCCGAATACTACAGGCACGCCCTATATTAACAGCGAATGTACATCAATGTGGGTCAATTGTTAGTGTGATACAGTGCAGTGATAGAAACAAATCCTCCACACCGATAGAATGTATCTGTCAGAGAGGTAAAAGTCCTCTTGCAATGTCACAATCTGGATGAGTGGCATATAATAATAATGCAGGATTTTAAGCAATTTCGCGACGATATATAATGCACACATGGGATAATTACAGTGCAAATGTAGACAATATACGATGACATATTTAGACCCGGAGATTCAGAACGTGTGTGTCTTTCCCCGATCACGTGGAATTCATATACCTAATTACCCGGCACACCCATTCATACGAGATCAAGCAGCACGGTCCTATCAATAAAGCACTGCCAGTGAGCGCATACACAAGCGTACTAGTGTATTGGTTCCAGATGTTTCATGCGGTGGACGTGTGTCGCACACACGCGCACAGTGGCAGAAACACATGCGTTCGATTCATCCATACGCACCTTGTATGTGCCTACGCTGCTTTGCCAAGAGAGGAAAATAAAAACACGTGTAGGCTGTGCATAGACCTACATTGGTTTTCCGTATAAGGATAACTCTAGTGCGTGCATACGGCAAAGATGGACATACCGTATCGAGGCCAACCTGGCTGATGCCCGCAGAACAAGCCGAGCAGATATACTCGTAATGGTGGGTTTCACCCTTAATCAACGTCCCCAAGCACACCACAGCGTCAATAGACGGGTCCCGCTTGATCAACGATTTGGCACCAAACGAAAGCTGCGCGTATGCAGATGTAAAATTTTCGTAACAAAATAAGAACGATGGCATTATTTACCAATAAGAGGCAAAGCATACGGTGGGATTCTTCGGAAAAAGTATATTTGTGAACAGGTGTGAATTAGCGAGTCCAAGCACACAAAAAAGGCAAAAGTATCCAAACAGACCCCGCTTTGCTCTGGAGTAGAGTTCATGTTGTTTATTGTATCCTTGCGTGGTCAGTAGATAAGAAAACCCACACTGTATAGTCACAGTATAGTATAACCCACGCAGTATAGTCACAGTATAGTATCAATACTTGATTACACACGATCGTGTACTAAAGCCCATATTATAAAATTGCTACCAAAGTTGGAGTGTGCTCCAAATTTGCATATAGACACAGGATGGTCAAGCTTGCAGGCATTATTCATGCCAAACAATGACGGGTGAATGATGTATATTAGAAAAAGAGCGATACATCATGGAGGTTAATGCTTAACATCTGGTATACTTATCAGTGCGAGTATCCTCCATTAAATCACATACAAAAGCAAACCGATCTGGTAAGTCAAAAAAGATTCAAACCCTATTCGATGAAAGGATTTACGCGATAATGAATATTATAAGACAAAAAAAATACAATACCATCACCTGAACAATACAAACATACTTTGTTTACATTACTTATGGTATGAGTAGGTGTGTACGTAACCTTATATATATATATATATGTATTCATATATATTTATAAATATAAATGTAGTGTCCCATATATCATCTATACACAAACGCACGTAGAACCATGCTACATACCTACCTACATACATGCATAAATGCTTACATGCATACATATATAAAGAAAAACATACATAAATACATTCAAATATATATATATATATATATTATATTATATTATATATATATAAATATATATATTACATACTATAGATATATAAATATATATAAATATAAACGCGCGCGCAAACACACAAGCATACATACCTACATACCTACAAACCTACATACACGAACACAAACACACACACACACACATATATATATATATATATATCATTATATTTATATATATATATATCATTATATATATATATATAGATATTGATATAGATATAAGACACACAGACACGCATATATATATATATATAGAGGTATATACATATAAACATATATAGATCTACACACACTCTCTCACATACACACACACATATATATATATACATATATACATATATATATATATATATATATCTTTATCTATATATATATGTATGTATACATATGTATATATATATATATATATATATATATATATAGTATACATACATACACACACACACATATATATGTATATATATATATATATATATATACTCAACACACACACACACGCACACATACACACACACACACATATATACATATATACTATATATATATATATATGTNTGTTCCGTTGTTACTATACGTATAGTANGTATCGTACTAACGTAACGGTTAATACTTACCACACGNGACGCNCGTGTGGT